GAAGCGCTTTAATTAAACACAGCTCCAAGATCCATGCTGAGCATCAGTTCCTCTGCACTGAAAAGTGGCAGCAGGACGCTAGTTTAAAAGTACCCCCCCACCATTTTTCACCACAGGGACGCTGATACACGTGGTGCTGGAGGTTTCTAAAGTGTGATAACTGAGTCTGCTCCAACATGCTGGAATTCCAGCGCATTGCAGCAGACTCCCCATGTTCCTGACTCAAAACAAATGTAAAACTTATCTTTCCCATAGCTTGAAACTTAAAAAAACCCAAAGAATTATTTTATGTTCTTTGAATCCCCACCACAGTGAGCAACATAACTCCCTGCTGCCCTAGTGTAGCACTATACACCTTAAAGTGACAGGGCTTGCAAACCCCAAGTCTAACAGACAAGACAGAAAGGCACATCTAAACTGTTATTTTTCTTATTCTTAATCCCTACTGTCTTACAACTGTTTCATGTTCATCTAGCTTCAAATGCCCATTGCCAAAGCATGTTTAACACTTCATACTGGTCACAGGATCAGAGGACAGTAGGACTGCAAGGGACCTCACAAGGTCATCTCGTCCAGCCCTCTAGCAGGTATGGAAGTGCGTTTGGACGAAGAAGCATGGAAACTTGAGACAGCTATGAAATAAGGCAGAAAGCTCTAAAGAGTAACCAGGAAGGGAAGAAAAAGGAAAAGCCAGTTAATCCCCTCAGGGTACGAGCGAGAGGTAGAATGCTACTGTATAAAAAGCAAAATGACAGAAATGGTTTGATTTTTTTCATGGTGTGCCAGCCTTGTCAGCAGTTCTGCTGTGGACAAACCAAGGCAGTTCCACCATGGAAAGATTAAAATTACCCAGCACCCCCTCCTCTGTTGTTGTGACCACTCATACAGCTAAAACTGTCTCTATGCAGTTAAAAAATTTGATACAAAGAGAAAGGTGCCAAGAAAACCAATGTTAATGAATAGGAGTGCATCATTTATAAATGGTAAATAATGGACAAAAACCCTCTCACAGTTAAAAACAAGCAAGAAGAAAGTAGTTTGAAGGGTTTAATGGAACAAATCAGTAGTAGCTTTCTTATAAGTAAGCCAATTTAGAAAGGGAAGTCCCAGTTCAACAAAGCAGAGAAGCAAGAAAAACAAACAAAAAAAACAGCTGGTGTAACTTGCGAAAACAAAGGGAGGAACTGGCCCACAAAGTAAAGGCACAAACTAGAAGTGAGATAACAAGCTAGGTAATTGAGTAAATCCCTCCTATAAAAAAATGAATCCAAAACCTCAGCAAGTAGGAAGGTACTAGGGCTGTGATAACTGGCAATCACCTGTACAGCTACAGCACCTTCTGCCCCTTCTCCCCCCTATACTAAAGGGGCAAAAAGGCAGCATCACTGCATAAAGAAAGCCCAACCCTTGAATCATGTATCCCAGTTACATTCGGCCTAGATGCTCGGGGCTGACCCCAAATCCCATTAAGGGATGCCAGTATAACATGGCAATTGATACGGGGCATCCAGTTCCAAAATACATGCAGAACCAAGCAAAAAATGGAAACTGGAAGTTCACAGACTTTTTTGACTTTAGAAGGGTTTAATGGCAAACTATTCCAAGTTACCATTACTCAGGAATTGAACTCTTTACTAGATATACTGTTCATTGTTCAGGTAAGTTTGAAAGAAAGAAAAAAAAATGTTGTTAGTGGCGCTTTAAAGTCGCAGACCCTGAAAAAGTTGAAAGCTTTGATTAGTTGTGCTAAGTTGGAACGTGTTGTTATCAACAAGCAGACAAGGTTCTTAGGGTAAATCTGATATTTTCTATTAGACCAACTTAAATAGTTGGAAAAATGTTTTAGCAAGCTTCTGGGTTTAGAAACCCTCGATCAGGCCAAAGAAGTCTCTGCAGTTGGTATGTGCTCTTCCTGAAGGAATTAATAGTAAAGAAGCCAGAGGTGAGAAGGCAGCTGTATTTGGAGGCTCTCACCCAAGTTCTTCTGTAAGCCTCCCATAGCCAGACAGCTGCTGCCAAAAGGGAATGCAAATGTTGTTGCATTGGTAAAAGTAGTAAAGGATGTTTTTGCTAGGTGTAAACAAAATTGTGATTTATCTTTAAAAAGCAAAGACAAGCTTAGCAATAACAAGTGACAGTTCATTCCAGCCTTACTTCTCTACAAAATCAGTGTGACTGTGTGAACAGGAGGGGTCTTTCTTAGAAGTTACCTTAACAAAAAAAAAAAAAAGAAAGCAGCCCTGATCAGCAGGGAGTAAACTACCTTCCCCTGCTAACATTAGGACTCTCAAGTCCTTTTTAAGATTGGCAGGTTCTCAAAAGATTTTATCAAGAAATATGCAGAGAAAGCTGCCCCATTGTAAACAGTCCTAAATGATGGAGGACCACCACGCTCTGGGGTGCATGCTGAGAGAGATGGGCACCCAGGTGGTTTTCTCTTCTATCCTGCCAGTGAATGGACGAGG